TAACGGGGGCAGGTGAGAGAATTACACGAGGGAAAGCCCTCACCCATCCATTCATCACAATGAGCCACCTCATTGACTGTACCAGTACAGCTGCCAGTAAGCGTGTGTGTGAGAGAGAGAGTGTGAGTCTAATTAGGTCATTATTACTTTGCATAGGTTTACAGAAAAGGGAAGTTGCTGTGAATGACAAGTTGATGATCTGCTGATTGGTTGATCGATTGACAGTCCTGCCTGCTGCCAGTGTGGTCTGGTCCATTGGCAGGAATGTAGATGTCGACACCATCGGTAGCAACACTGAGAGTGACTGCCCCCGTCACTTCACATCCTTTCACCCAAACAGACCTGGCTTCAGCAGAAAAAAAACACAGCTCTGAGTTTACTCTTCTGTAGCAGATTCAAACCCATCTCCACATTTGTTGCTCCATAATGTGGGCGTTGTAAGACTGTAACTGTGATTTCAAGCTATACGAATAGACTCGGACCAGGCCGGCTCAGAATATGGCATTAGTTAAGGCACAGGTACGCAGCACGCATTTTTATTTTAGGGAATGCTCAATCGTCCAACACATTTGATGAAGCAGAAGCTGTTAACAGCATATGTCTTTTATCTGGGCATTAGGAGGGCTTGGCTCACCTCCATAACACAGACAATTTCCCTGTCATGGTCACAAACCTGGAAGATGCTGCTACTGAAGAGGAAAGTAATTCCCATCCTGAGGTAAGATCACCCCTCACATACAAGGCAGCAAGAGGTGAAAGACCACCACAGAATGATCTAAAAATTTATTTAATTTAATTTTGGAGGACATTCCCAGCAGGAAAAAGAAAGAATGATCGACCAAACATGAACTTGGACTATTTAGTGACACAGAAACATTCTGATAGGTTTCTCACACTGTGGAAATAAACCACCTTTTCTCCTTCGAGAACAGCTTTTGAACTTAAATCACTACAAGTCACAGCGTGTGTGTGTGTGTGTGTGTGTGTGTGTGTGTGTGTGTGTGTGTGTGTGTGTGTGTGTGTGTGTGCGCGTGTGTGTGCGTGTGTGTGTGTGAATTTGTGTGGGTTTAAGGCCCATTGCTTCAGCTGTGCCAAGAGTCAGCTGTGGAGGGACTGCCTTGGCATCTTAGCTGCAGTTTTACAGCAGCAGTTACAACAGCGGTGACAGGTCAGCCTGTAAAATCCTGTGTTAGCCTATAAATATTAATGAATCTAGAGCAGTCTGCACTCTTGTTGCCTGGAACTGGGAGGGACAATGTTTAAAAGAAAAGAGGAATTGACTAAGAACTATATCGAATCAATACAGAGGCGGAAGACCAATGTAAGACCATAGACAGGGCCTGTCAAATGGGCAGGACTGTAGAGAAAATAAACAAAGAAGCAAGGCGGTCAAGTGGCTAGAGTATTATTTAAAGCGGCACTAATCAATATTTTTATATCAACAATGGACCAAATGACTGTGTAATGTGAAAAGTTTTGTTGGTCATGTTGCTTGTAGCGACTTACCCACAGAAAACCATCATTTAAAACTGCGGCTCACTCCTGCTATACAGAGCTTTTTAGCCTTTCTTAGCCTGTGTTTTGGTTTTCCAGCCAGCAACCTCTCCTCTCATTGACTTCATTCATAGCCACGAAAGGTTACTGTAAAAAAGAGCAAAAACTTTTGAGAAAACTTTGTCAACTAATGTTAGCTGGTGAACGTAGAGGAGCATTTGGCCGCTGGTGGTTGTGACCAAAACAGAGCTAAAAGGAGAGTGAATTGGCTGGAAATACCGCTCCAAATGAATGCTAGTGTTTCCCTGTGTCTGTGGAATTGAAGCAACTGTTTGCTAAAACGTACCCAGATTAACATTTAAGGATTTTTGAAGTGAAAAGAAGTAAATACAACCCCTGCAGCAAAGTGACATTAAAAATATGAACCTCAAATGTTAATGTTACTTATTTCATGAACTTAACAGAAAAACAAAAAGAGAAACACATTAACAAAACGCCAGCCAAAAAATTCAACAGTAATTGTGATATTTGCAAAAGTTTGGTCAGTACAGTTTTATGTGGTGATAATATGTTAAGGTCGTATTATGAGTTTGTTCTGATGGAACCAAGTGGCCGAAAATAAATTGATGCAGCTTTAAGTGAGCTTTTGGGATAATTTGGGCATCTTAGATTATATACTATCATTGTATGATGATGTTTTTGTAGACTAACTCTTCATTTAATGGCCTGATGTGGTTTCCCTTGTGCAACTTTTAACAGATGTTGAGAAAACCAAAAGCACATCAGTAGACTGGATGCAGTGAAGCGTTAAGTTTACTATTACTTACAGTAAATGCTCTTTGAAAGGTTGTTACACCATGAAGAGAATAACATCTGTAGGAAACAACGAATCTTCACACAGATCAGTACAAGAACACACAATCAGCCCTCAGTCTTACTGTCACCATTATTAGTTACTGTCTAAAAGAAATACAAAGCAAATGAACAACATTTCCTCTCATAATCTAAACCAAAAGTCAATTTAACTTTAAACACATTCTCTGGTCATTTTAATTTGCACTTCTTGATGTAATAATAGACTTCATTGCCCAGCTATGAATATTTTTAATTGGTTTCCGGGAAGTGACTTTTAATCAGAGAACTTGTGGAAAACTGTATTTTTCATAGAGTCAAAGTAAGGGGCATGAAGAGCCATGTAAGAGTGAATGTTTCCCACACTAATTCAAGCCTTGAAATAGATTATTATTATTATAGGCTGACAACAGTTTGTGCTAGAGTAGGGTCTGTTCATTTAACTCATTTCATTTTGTTATGCTCGAAAAAAAAAAAATTGAAGTCAATTATAAATCATCCTTTAGGCATTGGCTGGTTGGTCTGGGGACAGCAGATGCAGAAACTTGATTAATACCTTAAGTATGTTTCCTGCACATTTAGTACCAGTACAAATTGCTGTGATTGTTCTGCTACACAATACAGGAGATGAATAGTGGTACTGGTTTCATGCATACCCATGTAGTTTTGATTTGATTAAGTTGATTAACACACTGCTACAGCAGTTTATTAGTAAGAAAGGAAGAGAAGAGGAACAGTGTGTAATGTGATGAAGTGGAAACACAGTGTACTGGAGGGTTAGAGATATAGATAGTGACAGTGTAGATACACATAAGAAACATTTCTTATTGTCAGTAAATCTCATGAATAGACCAAAACCAATAATGATTTAGTCCGTCTCTCAGTGCATTCCCACTTCCCAACTCTGTCTGTGCCTCTCAGCCTCCACACCATTGCTTCTAACAGAATAGTAATAATAATTTAATTGTATAGGACGTTTTCTATTTAACTTTTCTTGTGATGCTTTTTGCTGTGTTAAACGGAGGCTGGGTGGAGAGACATTTTGATTGCACATGGTAGCCTACTGTTTCAGTTTCCATTTAAATCTATTCCAAATAAAATATTTATTTGTGTTATAGCAGTGTATAGAGACAGTATGGTACCATGAGTCTTTGGCTACAGTTTATTCTGGGCCTTGTATATCTGGGTATTTCATCGCAATAAAAACCCTTCTAACTTTACAGGCATATGAAACACTCATGTCTTCCCGAAGTGTTTAAACAGTGAGACAGGTGACAGGAATGACAGTCATGACTTAGTTTGTCTTGCTGCTTTTCCAAACTTGCAGTTTTCATTTTCTCTGAGTTTCTACTACCTAGTTTCTGTATCAAATTACATTATGAAAATACAGCATTTAGATAAATATGTGTCCCTTCAAAATGTGCCGTATGGTTCTGGTATCAATGTGTCTCGTTGTGAAAAAATAACACGTAGCTGACTCTATGGTAAAGGCAGAGGCTGCAGAATCCCACACAGGATTATTTGCCTTTTCCACCATTTATAAGAACCAGATGTCTCAGAACCAAGCAGGAATCTGTCCAGGACTCTACACCAATACACTGGTCTCCTGTTAATCCACCATGTCTGTGCATGCATCCTAAAGAGTAGCCTGTGGCACCACCAACCTTCATGAGAACTGCTGTTGTGGATATCACATATGGACACCTGAATGGAAGACAGATTTATAGCTGCTGTCTGTCTTCTTCAGTGTCATTTGTACTTGTGCTGGGTTTAATTAGTATTTTAATGACACACTGTCTGGGACCTTTTTGTTTGTTTGTTTGTCTCTGGGTTGAACCACTAGGGAGCACTGTCCTCCAATCACTGCTTGAAATGATGCAGCAGGTGTCTGGTCTGTTTTGTCTAAGTGGATGAAACAGTGTGGCCAATATTCATATACACCTTGCAGCCTGGGTCGTGTGTCATGTAGCCCATTTTGTTATCACAGCTTTTTTTTAGCATCTTTATTTGGGGACAAGGGGAGAAATATTTTGTAGCTTACTTGTATATTAGACAAAATTAATCACATAATCTGCCTGTTATGTCACAGTTTTCATACGCCCCTCATGTTCAGTCATGTCATTACTGCTGATGACGTGAACTTGCTGATCAGAGTGTCCTCCACGCTAATGAGGAAAAGCAGATAAAAGCAAGCACTGCCACACTAATATCAAGCAGCCAGAGAACCAGTAATTACAAACTGCTGGCTGCTTGGTTAGAAAACTGGAGGGGATGAATTGTGTTGTAGTGTCAGCAGAAGTAGAAACAGCTGCATCTAGTGGAGTAAATCCATTTCCTAGCTCCAAGGGAGTCCAGGACATGAGGCTGTAAGTGTCAATACATGAGCCGTATACTCAGGGGTTGGTTAGTTCAGTTTTATCCTGCCAGCACGGCGCAAAAAAAAAAAAAAAAAAAAAAAGGGACCATTTAGGATAACTGATATAGATGTGGGTGAAAAAGCCAAGGCTGAGATGTTGTGCAAGTCATTGATCAGAATGCAGCAGTACATCACTGGATTTCATCTCTCACCTGCTTTATTATGAATGGTAAATTAGTTTCACAAACCACTGCATTATTACAAGTTTTTATGTTTCATAAGACCCCCCCCCCCCGCCCATGAAAACACAAGTACATGAACCCTATGTCTACATTCACCAAACAATTAAGAAATGTTCCATGATTTAGATGAGTGGGTTACATGGACACAGTACTTAATTTAATGTCTTATTTAGAGTCACTGTGTGACCATTCAAACATGTTCCTGTATAAGGAAAACTGCTACACGCTAACTTATCAATGACATATAAAAAAAACATGTCTGAGTGCTCCTGCTGGTATACATCTCTGATCAGATATTAATTCAGGATGTGGACCTACTAATGCTCAAAGACTACATATTGGACATTTGCGTAAATGCAGACCCACACACAGAGGTGTTATCAGTACCCATGGCCGGGGGCTGCTGTCAGTGAGTCTAAAGAGAGTAAAAATAAATCCAAAGCTGCCAATAAACTGGATAAATGTATGACACTGATGTGTGATTATATAGTCAGTTATTATTCTGGTTTAAGGTGAAAAAGACAAAAATAATCTGATGCAACATGTCTCATTAGATTTCAGTAAGCAAGAGATTTACTGATATCTACTGAGAAATATTCTTTGACTTGACTTGTATGTTTGACTGTGTCAGTCTCAATGCCTTTCACTACATGACCTTATTTTTGTGGTTATTTTAAGAAACTTCTTCAGCAATATACATTATAGCAATTTACAGTACTATCAAACCACCTGGGTTGGTTCTGCCGACAGTATTAACGAAGCAGGATAGGAGTGGAAATGCTGTGAGTCTAGCTAATTTCCTGCTGCCCAGATGCTGGCACTGACGGTTCAGGGTTCCCTGCCACAGGCTCGTTGGAGGGATCACTGCTTCCATATTTGCCCTTTAAAGAACGTCCCAAAAACAGCCAGTACTCCTTACGGATGGTGTCCTTCTCCTGTGCTAGAAGTTCACAAATCTTCCCAGGAGGAACGAACACAGGAAGGGTGAGAAAACAACGTTAATTACATTATTTCAGGGTTCAAGTTTAAGTTGTAACAATTTCTAAGATTGTTTTTAGCCTTTAACAAAGCACCTACTTCTAGAGCCTTTCTTAAAGTTTCCTTTTGTTCCTCTTCCTCCACACTTTCCTTTTGGTTACTGATCTCCAAGGCATCCTCATAACAATCAAACAGAAATGCTAGAAGGTAAGGTGAACAGTGTGTCTCCTTAAGCTCCAGGACTCTCTCCAGCAGACCTGGCTGAGATGACAGACCTCTGTCTTGCAGCATCCTTGGGGAAGAAGAAGAAAAAAAAGGATACTGTCAGTGAGCTTTTCCATTTTTAATAACAGAGTCTCTGCTCAGTTTTTCCCCTCTAGCATGCCATATATTGTGGATGTCTGAATAGGGAAGGCACATAAAAATGTCAGTTATTCTACTCAAGAATAAGAAAAGAAAATCTCTTTTGCTGCAGCTCTGAACAGGATGAATAAATTCATATATCAGATCAAATATAAACATGTTTGCTATTTGCAGATTTCCTGAGACTTAGATCTGCTGTAGGAAAAATGATTTGTTATGTGTTTTTCATCTTACCCTTTCAAATAGTTCCATGCGCTTTCATTGTGGGGAGCCTTCCTGATCTGGCTCAGACAGTACCTTGCATCAATAAAGAAAAATAAAGGATTGGTCAAATATTAGCAGACGTGATGCTTATCGCTCAAGAAAAGACACTCCCTAGGAACTGTACTGTCTCCTGGACACTTTAACATGTACAAAATCTCTTCTCATGTAAAGAATCAGATCTGGTACAAAGAGTCCCTCTAAAAACACCACAAGCTTTTATCCAACTTCAAAGGTGCAAATTAACCGTTTGTCCAAATCTTGTATATTTTGGGACAAAGTACTCACTGTATCTCTCTCTCCACTATGGTTGGATCAGAGTAACCTGTAGTGTGAGAAATTACAAAATGCCTCTGGTTCCATGCAGAGTTATTCCTCACATCTTCTTCCAAAAGATTCTCCACGAACTCCAGCTCATTATCCCACAGTTTGTACTCCTGAAAATTGAATAAAACAAGCGTTGGCAACAAACTTGTTTATGTAATCATGTAGTGCTTTTAGCGGTGGCCCTGCAATGCTTGAGACAAATACTGACTAAAGAAGGACTCAAACAACACAGCAACAAACAACCAAATTAATAAGTGCAGGATTCAGTCTGGCAGAGAGGCTCGCTGTGGGCAGAAAACTGGACATCATTCCTCAGTTTAAATGCCAAACTCTGCTAAGAGCTCCAACACCTACCTGGATGACCCACTGTCTGTGCTGCCAAGCGTGGTAGTTCTTTGCATCTTGGCTGAGAATGTCCGCAATGAACTCCAGTTCCTCAGAAGGGTCATTCAACCACTCCACCACCATACGTCTGTGGTGCCTGGAAGACGAGTTAGGGAACCCATCCTTATATTTAATGTTTTCATTAAACTGAGTGATTTTAGAGATGTCCCGCTCCCACCCTCGCTCCCGCTCTCTTCTCTCTGTGTTTTTGCAGACAATTTAACAGCAGATAGATAAACATGACCTGAAATGAATTTGCAGGCACTCACCAGACTTGATAGTTTTTGGGTTGCTCCTCAATGATGGCAGTAATGTACCTCATCTCCTCTCTCAGGTCCTTTGATAGGGCTTGCAGTAGTACTCGTCTGTAGTGCCTGCACATTACCAAAGCCAAATTTAGTTTACACTTCATTTCACATAGGGCATAGTCATTTTCAAAACATAACCATTCTAATCCAATAGTTGTAATCCAAGATTAAATGGTTCACTGCAGTCTCAAGATTTGCTCAAGCACCATTTAGAAAGTCATTCTATAAAATTCTATACTTTTAAACTGAAAATAGCTTTCAAATTGTTCTGCCTCCCCACCATATTATGAAAATGAAACACTGCTAAATAGCATACATTAGTTTTCCATACTCCAAGCCAGCAGCATACTCACCAAACTGTATAATTTGCAGCATTTAGCTCAATGGCATCTGCTGTCAAGGCGAAGGCCCGGTCACTTCTTTCATCATTCTTCAGGAGAGCACGGAAATAGTCATAGACATCTGAGACTGTTGGATGAAATATATGTCCAGTAATTATAAAACAACAAAGTTCTGACTTACACAGCTGCTGATTATCGGTTTGGCCAGGACATGTCTGTGCTACAAAAAGCGTGGCCTTCTAGCACCTGGATGTCAGAGCTTCTGTGTGCAGCTTACTCAAAGCAGAACTGAAAGGACAAAATTAATAAACTTTTATAAAAAAAATAATGCTGTGAAAATTGTATCATAGTGAGTAATAGTAAGTATGGTTGCTCTGCACATGTTTGCTTGGCATCTTCAAGCTTATGGTGTCCTCTAGTAGTTTACATGAGTCCCATCGCTTACTAACAATCTTACACTTTTCAGAGTAGGCGATCTTCACTACAGGATTTGGTCCATCATCCTGAGGAACAGGCTCCAGGTCAGCCCACTCCTTTCTGTCTCTGAAACACAAAAAGACGGGGGTGGATTTCCTGGCTGCTAACCTACAACATCGCCAGAAGGCAGCTGATGCAACTAGTGCTTCAGTTCCAACTATGTTTACCACATTTGGTTAACATTTGTTTAACAAATTCGATTGGTTAATGTCAGTTTCCTTTGTGAAAAAATGTACATGCAAATTCATGTTGCAATGGTCGTTGTAACGTTACGTCAGCACATTGTATATTCACTTTGTTAGCTTCTGAAATGACCCAGCTCGGGGAAGGGCGGGGATGAAATGACAGAACTGAACCAATCAGTTAACACATAACTATACAATAAACGTGTTAACCGTTTACTATCGATTCCAGTGACACTACCGATAACGTCACTCTGGCAAACATTAAGAAAAGTCACTAAGAAAACTGACATTAAACTAGAAGTTATCACGCATTATCATGTTATTACAAACTTAAGTTACTGGAAGAAATGCTTAGTTACCATTAGAGCAGCTACCGAGCTACCCACACAAACATATAGGGAAACTGTTAATCAGACACTACCTGTAAAATAAATATCGAGTTGGGTCAATGACAAAATCATCCCCGAGTTGGTCCTCAGCCTCTACATCAAACTCTTTATCTTCTTTAACCCCCACAGATTCATTTGAAGTTTCCTCGACACCTGACATTGCTAACTTGTTAGCTTAATCGCGTCTATGCTCCGTGAGGCCGGAAGTGAACGTAAGATCCGGTGAGGCAGAAAGCTGCCTTTACGTACTGCGGGAAATATTGCACTTTTAACAATAGCTCTGTTTAGGGAATGGTCATTAAAAAAGGGCGTTTAAGGGCAGAAAATGGTTGCGGAGCCAGCAAATGTGAAAAAACATGGGTCGATGCCCATGTTTAATGCACTGTCCAAATATCCAGGTTTTCGTTGGCCAGTAACTTCCGATATGCTGAAATGTGACGTTTACGGGCCAGCTTCCTGCCTGTGTAGTACCCATACAGTACCTGACTGAATCTGAGTGACACTAGACCTAGCAATAATTTTACAAGCATAGTACTTAGATCAGATACATATCGTGAGGACAGTATATACAGTACGTGGTGGTGGGCCAGTCGTTTGTCGTTTTTGCCTGTCAAATCGCATCAATAAGACATTTTTCTAAACCGGTGGCTGTCAGCTCACTTTTACATGATTATGACCTGTTTCAACAGAATATAACCCATCTGCCTTTTAACATACTCCATAAGACTTACATTGTTGTTGTAAATGTGTATCAAGACTCAACTTTGTGTAACCTTCCCATTTTTCACACAACTGAATTTACTCAAAATATATGAATCAACATTACTCACTAGTCTCAAGTTTTGGACAGTTTTTGTGTTCATGTGTAAATCTCTCCTAAAGCTGGGGAGGACAGAGGAGACTACAGACTATTTTTCTCTACAAGTGTTGGGGGACCACTGAGCTTCAGCGGCTTAAGCAGATATGTATTATCTGGCTCCCTCTTATGGCAGAATTTGGTTATCTTGAATTTGATAAAATAAAAATAGGTTTGAACTATTCAAATACAAATCATTCATATTCAAATTTAAAACTTTCCTTGCACAAACCTGCTTAAACTGTCCTTTCGATTATGTTAACCTTGGAACATTTGAATCATAACTCCAATCCCAAAATAGCAACAGAATTGTAATGTATTTGAAATAATTTTGTAAAGGCAAGGTCAAGCTGAACTTTATTTTCATCATCAACGACTCTGGACATTATAAAAATAAATAGATGATTCACAGTCAGTGGATCATAATACAAATTGTTATCAAAATTATGTATCAGCCAGAATGAAGAATTAAAGACATGCATAATAACCATTGCATCAACTTATACATGTTCTGAATACTTGTCCCCATTGTTTGCTATTAACAAAATCTGTTTTGTAACAGAACCTGTTGACAGAATATAAAATCACCATTCAAATTAGACAGCTATGCAAGCAGTATATGCTTCTTTCTGACAAGTTTTCAATGATGGCTTGACCCAAAGTGTGTTCAGTGACTGTCGTCTTGATCCAATCCATGTTTTTCAATGTAGCGTCTGGGAGAGAAAAACAGATAAAACCATTAGTCAGCACACACACGCAAGCGCGCGCACACACACACACACACACACGCACGCACACAAAATCAAAAAAGGTGTTATAGCAAACTCGCTAACAAACAGTTGTTTATTTACACATCCAACAGTTACAGAACAACATTACCATTTACTTGGAGTCATGTGTCCTTAAGCTGCTAATTGCTCCTCTATGGTCAGCAACTAGTTGCTAACTTCATCTGTCGACTGCTTGGTGATGGGCATTTAGTGTATGGTGAGTTTATTAAAGATTTTTACTGAAGACAGTTGAGTGCTGTGTCTAAAAATGACACTTATGAGAGGTATGAGCGTAAACCAAAATAGTGGAGTTGTGGGCAGAAAAACCAAAACTGTGAGCGATCGGCCCCTTTCTCATTACACGTAGCTATCCAACCCATTGTTAATAGAAAAATACTGATTATTGCAACTCTAAAGTTACACTAGGTATTTGTGTGCAGTGTCACCTACAATCTACAGTGGTGTCTGATCAAAACTCATGAACTTCATGAGCCAGAATATTGTCAGGTGACATTTAGAAAAAGAGACAAGACAGTTTAGAGGTCTAATGTTGGTCACTCGACTTTTCTCTCAATGACTTGCTCCCTCACTGCTGTGTCAGAGACTGTCTGGATTTCAGAACAAATCTGCAGGGTCTAAATTGGCAAAGACAGGGTAATTTTTTACAGAAGACTTTTGCCTGGCACATCTGTAACTGTAACTGTAGAATTAGTATTGAGTGACAGACACAGCGCTAGGAATGAATTCAAAGCAAATCTCAAACCAAATGAATATTGCATAACTGTTCACTCCTGCACAACTGCAAGATGTTGTGCATAATGAAGCAGCGTTAGCTGTTCTGAGGTGTCTTATTAACATGAGCTGAACAGACAAGGAGCATTTCCAATGAGTCCAGAAATATATGATTAAAACAAATCGTAAGAGAATATCAGAAAATTTAATTCCACCATGTACGGCTGACCGTTCTGCCATCTCTGCTGCAATATTAACATAGATGCAAATCCTCTTACAAATAATAAAAACCTCACCTTCTTGCAAAATTATACAGCGCTTCTTTTCTCTCTTGGAGAGACAAATGTCTGTCAGCTGGTGATTTCCCAAAAGATTTGGCAGCAGGCTGCAGATGAAAAAAAATTGTGAAAGATTGATGCATCTACTGCACAAATTAAATCTATTTAAATGCGTGACATCATAACTAAAATCCCCCCCACATGTACATGCTTGGGTTAGGTTAAGTTATCTAGGAAATATCAAATTCATATGTTCACAGAAAATGGATCCAAATGATTGATAAATAAGTTAGAGAGCTCAGAGATAGCCGCAAACAGAATCAAAGAGTCAAACCTTTATGGTGGGAGCAGAACCAGAAGAGTAGGAGCTAATCTTTGAAGGCCCAAATGTAGAAGTCCCAGTTGCTTCCATTGGAGTTTCCTCCTTGTTCTCCAGCAGATTTGTTATGGTGGTGTCAACACAATTGGTTTTTGCTGTTTAAATTCAATAGACAAATGTAAGTGCATGTAAAGTTAAAGAATGGGCAGAGGAGAGAGTTGGTAGGAATGTTGGGTCAAAAAGTAAATTGAAATAGTGTCATACCCAAGTCCTTTGCAATGACATTCAGGGGGACATGAGGCAGCACATCCTTCACTTGTTGGGCCATCTTCGCAATCCTGTGGTCATCTGTGCCCAAACTCTGGACCATGAAACCAAGTCCAATAGAGCCAGGTCTGACACCTAGTGTCAGGAAAACAATAGTTGACACCCCCCCCAAAAACAAACCTTGCAAACAGTGGAATCTTTTCATGTACAGAATCAGATGTATTCTGGGTTTATTTGATTAACATACCGGTAGATGTTTGTGGTACACTGTGTCTTTTCCTTTTGATGTGCTCTGCTTTATCAGCTTTAGTGATCTTGGTGGAGACCAAGCCAAGTTCACCTGCTAGTAGCTGAAAAAGACAACACACATTAAACACACTTATAGCTGCAGCTATAAAGCAGAATGAGGAGGAATTGGTGACTGGACTAAATATTAAATATAGGGGGGAAATCAGAAATCTAACAACATTGTGCTTTTAGGGAACTATAGCTCCTTGTAGTTTACCAAAGAGGAATATGGGTATAGGCATTGGGGCCAGGGAAATACATAAACTGCAAAACTGTATGGCATGTTTTTCTACACATTTGTTTTTACTGTTACAACTCTAACCCTCTATGAATCCACTCAGCTGGTAAACATTGGTTTTACCTCCTGGACTTTGTTGGCAACCTCCTGTGCGGACTCGCCATCTTGTCTGGAGACTGGTGGGAGCCAACTGGGATGAAAATCACAAACAAAACAAGCAATGTTAAGAAGATGTGACAACAATTATGGCAGAACAGAAATGCTCAAAATCATCAGGAGACTACTTAAAAACTGAATTTGGAGCTCAGAGCTTTAAAATTTACTTATAAAAAGCAGTTTAGTTTAAAACCATTTGACACTCATGCTCAACATTACCGGCCAGAGAAGATGAGCTTGGGGTTGTTGCTTGTGTCAAGACCAAGTGTTTGTTTTTTGTACTTGGTGGATCTAGTTCATGTAACCTGCATCGCTACAAAACCACCTCAGTTTCCAAGAAAAATAAATTAAGTCTAATGATTACTTGATTATTAGCCTCTGCAGAATATTGTGATTTAATTCTAAAAAGCAATTGCTGATAGAAATAATGATACAAATTATTTAGTACCTTACATGATACACTGTACATGGAGCAAAAAATGTCCACAAGAGCTCCATCAGCCAACTGGACTCTGGTGTGCTCTGTGGACAGACAAAAGACAACAGAGTCAATCAGTGTTTTATTACAGTGTAACCTGACATACCCTAAATTCAACTATGTGTGCACGGACAGACACAGAAAGTATAAAGACAATAACAGCTATGGTGAGGTGTCCTGGTGACCCAAACAATCCTGCATCTATTCACAAATAACCTCACTTATAGTAAAAGCCCAACTTAAGCCACTGTTGCACACAGTAACACAAGACAGAATTACTCTGGGTACTGAGATTGCTGGATTAGATTTAAGCAGCCCACACTAAGTAGCTTGCTGCTACTTGCAGGAAATTTCACTCATTTTGTAATGATTTTCCAGAGCTTAGAAATGGTCCATAAAATGCATTATTCTCCCTCATTGATTTCCTTACCTCCTCTGTATATTGACATTTTGCTTTTTAGTACGGTGTTAAATGCAGTCACATTGTTACTTTTTAGTTTATGTCACTACTAAACACGACAATATATCACTTCTCTTGTTTCAACACACTCACAGACACACACACACACACACACACACACACAAGATTCAAGCTGCAGATGCTGTTAACACAACATATGATCAATAATATTGTAATGATAGTTATATATCTTGTCTTAAAAGTCAGGTTGAAGTGACATTACCAAAGCAATCAATGGTCTGGTCACCCTTAAGGCCACTGGCTGAATGGAATCAGTCAGTGAGAAAGGCCAGGAGCTGAGAGGAAAATAATAAATATAGTACGTTAGTTGGATAAGTAAACAAAGAGAAA